GTTACTGATCGTTGATGTAAGTCTGTTACTGAACTGTTTTTTGATACTGGACTTTGATATTTGGATTATCCCTGAACTGAACACTGACTGCTTTACCTGTGAATGACTTGAACTGCTTATCTTGGAATTTGCTTAAACGTTTTTATGAGAAGTAAAAACCTACATTTACTGTACAGTGTATCTGTGGGCTGTTTGTGTGTGTTATTTTTCACTACGTTCACTACGTCTCCCTGTATGCGCTCATTTTCCTAATGGGGAATTACCTCAACAACGCCTAAGCTACTTCTAGTTTTAGTTTCCAAATGGTTCTCATTGGCTGACTTAGTTGCTATGCCTATTCATTGGCCGACCTTGTTACCATGCTGTATTCCACTTCATGAATATATTGACAATTCTCTCCTCCACTGTTGGGCTGTGCTGCAGGGGACGGGTGGGTGGGTGGGTGGGTGCTGTTCTGGGCCAGCCCCAGGGGTGGCTTAAACCAAGGGCAGGCATGGAAGATGCCCACAGGGGTCAGGCAAGAAAAACCAAACACACACACACACACACACACACACACGCGCGGATAGGTGGCAGCTGGCTCAAGAGCAGTAAGTGTGAGAGAGATCTGGGTGTCCAAGTGGACAATCACTTAAATGTGAGCCTGCAAAAAAAAAACAAAAAAAAACCAATGCAACCTGGGCTGCATCAACAGAGGGATAGCATCAAGATCCCGTGGAGTTCTACTACTGCTTTGTAAGGCCTTGGTAAGGCCACACTTAGTGCATCCAGGTTTGGTCGCCACGATAAAAGCAAAAAAGATGTTGAGACTCTGGAAAGAGTGCAGAGAAGAGCAACCAAGAGGATTAGGGGACTGGAGCAGGGGTGGGATTCAAATTTTTAACAACCGGTTCTGTGGGTGTGGCTTAGTTGGTGGGTGTGGCTCAGTGGTCATGTGACTGGCTGGGTGTGGCCAACTCAATATCACTCACATCGAGGCACGCATCTTCTCCCCTGGCCTCTCATGACTGTGGGGATGCTGCAACAGTCGTAAGTGTGAAAAATGGTCATAAGTCACTTTTTTCAGAGCCATTGTAACTTTGAAGGGTCACTCCACACAAGCAAAGTACCAGCAAAGGAGGGGGGAAAAAACTCCAGAGAAGTTTCTGAGACAGGAAGTCTAGTCCTGCCAAAAATGTAATAAGGGTTAATGGAGAGGCAGTTTCTGTAAGCAACACCAGAATGTTTCCTTCCTGCCTTCCTTACAGGATTAGGCCAGTAATTTCTTCTAACAACCGGTTCTCCGAACTGCTTGGAATGTTAACAACCGGTTCTAGCGAATAGGTGCGAACTGGTAGAATCCTATCCCTGGACTGGAGATTAACACATACAAAGAACAGTTGCAGGAACTGGATATCTCTAGTCTAACGAAGAGAAGGACTAGGGGTGCCATGATAACATCTTCCACTATTCCAAGGCCTGTCACAGAGAAAGCAGGGTTAACTTGTTACCCAAAGCGCCTGAAAGCAAGACAAGGAGCAGCAGATGGAAATGTATCAAGAAATCCGACCTAGAATTAAGGAGAAATTTCCTAATAGTGAGGACAGTTAATCAGTGGAAGACCTTCCTTCCAGAAGTTGTAATGGCTCCATCACTGGAAGAAGTATTTAAGAAGAGACTGGACAGCCACTTGTCTGAAAAGGTATAGGTTCTCTGGCATCAGCAGAGGGTTAGACTAGAAGACCTCCAAGGTCCCTTCCACCCGTTATCCCGTTATTTGAATCTCCTTGCCCTGGGACAGCATCTCTGGTGGAGCAGGCTCTGTTTCCCCTGCCAAGATCAGCCAAGGCAGCGCTCTCTCTGACACCACCACTCCACTGCCTCCTAGCCCAGCTGGGTCAGGTCCAGCTAGCCCAGAGGGTGGTCTGGGCCCTTCCTTCCTGCCTCCGCCATCCCCGTTTTCAAACTTGAGCCCACGGTATGTATCTTTTCTTGTATGCGGAGCGTTTGCACCGAGACAAATTCCTCGAGTGTCCAATCACACTTGGCCAATAAAGAACAAGGAAAGGAAAGAAAGAATTGTACAGCTGCGCAGCATTTAGTTTCTTTCTTTCTTTTTAAACTGAAATGTTTTCCTGGCATTCGATCTTCCTCCCTGTAACTTGAACCCATTATTCCATTTTCCTCCATTCTGGAGAGAGACAGAAAACAAACCTTGCCCTTCTGTCTCTTCAGGTCTCTATCAGAGGTTGTCACTCACACACACACACACAAACACACACAAACACACACTGCCCCCCTCCATGCAGTCTTTCCCCAGGCAACACATTCCAGGCTCCTCCACCCCTCTCTTCACTCCGGCTCCCTTTCTCTGCCCCAGTTCTGGCTCCCTTTGAAAGGCTGGTGCCCAGAGTTGCATGTGGTCTCACAGTGGCAGAACTAGAGGTGGTATCCAGCCGGTTCTAACCAGTTCTGGAGAACCGGTAGCGGGAATTTTGAGTAGTTCAGAGAACCGGCCAATGCCACCTCTGACTGGCCCCGCCAACCCCATCTCTTCTCTGCCTCCCATTGAGTCCCAGCTGATCGGCTGGGTCTCCTTTGGTTGCCCTGCACGGGAAAACGGAGCTGGAAAGCAGGTTAGTGGGATGAGGAGGGAAGGGGGATTTTGCAATATCCTTCCCCCGCCATGCCCACCAAGCCACGCCCACAGAACCGGTAGTAAAAAAAATGTTTGAATCCCAGCAGAACTGAGTGGAAATATTGCTGCGATTTGGAAATGATACTTGGGTCCATACTGTGCTCCCCTCCCTCCCCCACCCACCTTGTTTGCTCTTCTGGCTGAACCCTGAGGGAGGCTGGGCAGATCCCCCCCTCCCCCCCCCCCCGATGATTGACAGGGCCACTTAGGAGAGCCAGCAAAGCCCCTGCTCCTCCCCTCCATGCCTTTTTTGGCTATTTCCCTTTCGCCTGGGACTCCTTGGACCCCTTCCTCCTCGATCCTCTGCTGCCAACC